TGGTATGGGTAATGGTAAAAGAAGAGGCTGGGTCAGACCACACAGTGCCTTATGAGGGGACAAATGTCCACATTCTATGCGGAAGAACTGAAAGCAGGTAAAGGAGATAGAGGAAGTACTGGGTCTGGATTCCATTAAGCTATATGTGCTGTCATTGTGCTCCCGGATGGCCAGCCCTGGATGAGAACACTGTGTTCTGTTCTCGCGACACTGATGAATGAGGAAGTGGAAGAGGAGGATGAACGTAGAAGGAACTGAGTACCGCTGACCCCCACAAAGTGATATTCAGGGAACCAAGAGCAAACCTTGCTTTCAGATGGCTCTTGGAGCCAGCAGGCTGAAACTACATGGTAGAAATTTCAGGAAGGCAGGATTCTGCCTCCCATTAGAAAAAATTTTCAAGGACCGCAGCTGCTATGGAAGAATGACCAGTCATGCTCCAGCTGCCACTCTCTAACCTCTCTTTCAGACTTTGTGGACTGCTCATAATTTAACATTTGGAGGTTTCAGATCTGAAAGGACCACACATGCAAGGGGACATTTTTCATGGCATCATATTGGGTGCTTAGGAAGCAGCCAGCTCTCTGAGACCAGCAAGAGATAGTGAAAAAGACACAGGCTGGGCTCTTGGGAGTACAGAAGGGGCATCTGGTTCTCAGCCTAGAACATTAGAGAAGGCTCTGAGAGATGAATCCTCAGTTGAGGGTTAAAATGAGATAATTTTGCCAGGAAAAAGTAGGGAAGTGCTTCCCAGACAGAGGAAAAGGTGATCAAAGGAGCAGAGGCAAGAAGCAACAGGAGCCCTGACCACATGGCTCAGTTGGTTAAAGTATAGTCTGGATACGCCAAAGTTGTGGACTTGGTCCCTGGTCAGGATACATACAAGAATCGACCAATGAATGCATAAATTAGAACAATAAATCGATGTTTCTTTCTCCCTCTCTCTTTCTAAAATGAATACATTTTTAAACGCCCAGGCCAGTGTGGCTAAGTGGTTGCAGCATTGGCCCCAGTTCCAAAGGGTCTTGTGTTCAAATCCCAGTCAAGGGCATGTACCTTGGTTGCAGGTTCCATCCCTAGCCCCAGTCTGGGTGCTCGCAGGAGGCAACTAATCTGTGTCTTTCTCACATCAGTGTTCCTCTCTCTCGCTTTCCCTCCCCCATCTCCCTCCCTCCTTTGCACTCTCTCTAAAAATCAATGCAAAAAAATATCCTCAGGTAAGGATTAACAACAACAACAAAATTTTTTTTTTATTCTCACCCGAGGATATTTTTCCAGATAGAGTGGGAGGGAGAGAAAGGAAGAGAGAGAGAGAGAAAGGTCGACATGAAAGGGACACATCGAGTGGCTGCCTCCCGCATGACCCCAGCTGGGGGACGAATTGCAATCGAGGTATGTGCCCTTGGCTGGAATTGAACCCGTGACTCATTGGTCTGCAGGCCGATGCTCTAACCACTGAGCCAAACCAGCCAGGGCAACAACAAACATTTTTTTAAAACATTTTTTCTTTATTGATTTCAGAGAGAGGAAGGGAGAGGGAGAGAGTGAGAGAAACATCGATGAGAGAGAACTTTGGCCGCCTCCTGCATGCCCCCCACTGGGAATCAGACCCACAACCTAGGCATGTGCCCTGACTGGGAATCGAACCCTCAACCTCTTGGTGCATGGGTCAGTGCTCAACCAGTTAGCCACACAGGCCGGGCCAAAAATTTTTCTTTAAATTAAAAGCTATGGGAGTGGGCAGAGGAGCATCAAGCAGTTTGGGGGGAGAGGGTGTCCTGCAATGAGGCTGCCAAAGAGAGTTCTTGAACTTTGCTACATATTGACAGAGCCACAGAGGAGAAAAAGTGCTACAGCAGGAGTAGAATAGGATGAAGCAAACAGCATATAGCTCCAGTCTGCCCTGGGAGACAAGGTCCACATTTTAATGGGCAAAGGACCTGAATAGACACTTCTTCAAAGGGAACATACATATGGCCAATAGACATGAAAAATGCTCAATGTCACTAATCATCAGAGAGATGCAAGTTAAAACCACAATGAGGTATCACCTCACACCTGCCAGAATGGCTACCATCAATAAAGCAACAAACAGGTGCTGGCAAGGATGTGGAGAAAAGGGAACCGTTGTACACTGTTGGTGGGTATGGAGACTGGTGCAGCCACTGTGGAAAACAGTATGGAGTTTCCTCAAAAAATTAATAATGGAACTGCCTTTTGACCATAGTGATCCCACTTTTGGGACTATATCCTAAGAATCCCAAAACACCAATCAGAAAGAATATATGCACCCCCATGTTCATAGTAGCATTATTTAAAATTGCCAAGATCTGGAAACAGCCCAAGTGTCCACCAGTAAATGAGTGGATAAAAAAGCTGTGGTACAATTACACATACTATGTGGCTGTAAAAAAAAAAAAAAAAAAAAAGGAACTCTTACCCTTTGTTACAGCATGGATGGACCTGGAGATTATTATACTAACTGAAATAAACCAATCAGAGAAAAACAAATACCATATGATCTCACTTATATGTGGAATCTAATGAACAAAATCAACTGATGAACAAAACAGAAACAGAAGCATGGATACATGGAACGGCCTGACAGAGGTCAAAGGGGAGGGAGGAAGGGGGCATTGGATGAAAGGTGAAGGGATTAGCCAAAGAACATATATGCATAGTCCATGGACACTGACAACAGTGTGTTGATGGCCAGAAATGAGGAGGGCGGTGAGATGGGGGACATCTGTAATAGTGTAAACAAAACAAAACAAAAAAAGATGCGCTTTATTCCTTTGGCAAGTATCTAGGCCCTTGTGTCCCCATCTTAGATGGGCTCTGGGCCCACGAGGCTAAAAAAATCACGATGGTGTGGCAGTTCCCAGGGGGTAACTTCCCGGGCGTGGCGTAGCTGGCGAGATGGTAACGTGGACACTTCAGGGCGGATAAGGATTTGGACGCGAGGTCGGAACTCGCAAGAATGTTAAACACCAATTTACGCATGCGCTTTGAAGGAGCCAGGCACTCGGTGTGCGCATGCGCGGGCCCGGAAGGCCACCGGCCGCGCTTGCGCCCTTAGTTGGCGGGAGTTTCGGCGGCTGTGGCGACTGTGGCGGCGGCGGCGGCGGCGCGGGGCGTGGTCCGTGGGAGGTGCACCAGGCCCAGACCAGAAATAAAAGGTGCTGGGGGTCCACGAGTGACCCGTGGCTGCGGAGAGGGACCTGCGGTCTTGTATTGAGAAAGGAGGCTTCGAGCTGGACAGGCGTCGCTCTGAGGTCAGGAAGTCGCAAACCTTTCCTCGGACGCGGCCCCACTCACCCCCGTACCCGCCTTTTTGGCGTCGGACCTCGGCCCAGTCCAGGCCCATCGCCGCCCCCCGACAGTGGGCACGAGGGGTGCCCCAGGGCGCCGCGGCCTCCCCCGGGTGAGAGGAAACCCGAGGGCGGGCCGCGCCTCTCCCTCGGCCTGTTTGCAGAGGTTGAAGGGTTCGGGTGGGTCACCGGATTCCGCCTCTTCCCCAGACTGGCCGCGCAACAAGCCTGGGCCAGGCTTTTGCCCTCTGAACCTCAGTTCCTCTATCTGCAAGGAGCGGTGGAAAGGATTAAATGGGATGATGAGATAGTGGTGCAAATAAAGCGGTTAGTTACTGCACAAGCCCTGGCACATAAATGCTTAACCAGCAGCTAGTTTCTCTTTACTTAGCACCCCCTACAGACCTCTGCTGGGAGGGAGGTAAGCATGGCAAATGACCTGTGTCGGGTCCCTGCCCTCTCCAGTCTTCTTGCTGACAGGTACTAGGAACACAAATTACAGTCTGGCTGGGGAGACAGACTCGGCAACAGTCTTGACTGCAGTGCTAGGAAGACGAAGGGCTGGAGCCACCAACCCTGCCATAGAGAAGTGGTGTGAAAGCTTCACAGTTGAGCTAGGTTGGGAAGGATAAATAAGTTTTACAGGCCACATGTGCAAAGATTCAAACGTGGTGCAGGGAATGGGAGTGGCAGAAGAGCAGGAATGGGTAGGTTGGGAACAGCTTATGAGAAGTGTTGAAAACACTGGAAAAATCTCTGCTACAGTCTAAAGAATGGCTAGGAGGGGAGCGGTGCTGGATGTAGGAAAAGTAGTCGACAGGATGTTAGATGATTGGGTGGAGGGAAAGGGAGGTACTGGAAATTATGAGACCAGAACTAAACTAAGAACTGGAAATGGAGAAAAGATTTAGAGACAAACTCAGAGATACAGACAGAAAAACGGTGATTACCAGAGGGAGAGGGTGGTGGGGAGAGGACAGAGCGTAGAAGGGGTCAAATATACAGGGCAAAAGTAGGTTTATAGTTGTGAGTATGCGAAACAGTCTGTTCTTGTATTATTAGTTATTTTCCATACACACAACTGTAAACCTATTTTTACACCACCCTGTATAGTGAGTGACAGAAGGAGACTAGACTTTGGATAATGAGCACAAATTGGAGTATACAAATGTCATATAAAGTTATATACCTAAAATTTGTATAATGTCATTAACCAATGTTACTCTAATAAGTTTTATTTAAAAAAGATTTAGAGAGACTGTTGGAGGTAGAATGGATGGGATTTTAGATCTGGAGAGTTAAGAATAAAAAGTGAAGAATGATGTAATTTTTTTAGTTTGGAAGACCATGTAGATCATAATGTCATGAACTGAATTAGGGAATTCAGGACTAGTTAAACACAAATTAATTGGGAAATAAGATAGATTATGTGTAAATGGAGATATGAATATTTCTAGTGATAAGTTCAGTAGAAATTCAGAACAGGAGGTGATGAACCCTGCTAATAGTCTCTGTGGAGGTGGTAGGTGAGGTCGCATTGGGCTGGGCCTTGTCATGTAGGTAAATTTTATGGGACAGAGATGGGCAGTTCAGAGAGGCTGGAAAGCACAAGGCCTAGTCTAGTGTAGTAAAACCCCAGTGAGACAGGCTGAAATGTGGAGAACAGATCACCTCATTTTCCTATTTTAGGGTTCTCCACCCAAGATGACTTCAGTGACTAGACCAGAGACTGTAGAAGGTGAGTATTGTACCTTTTACCTTGGGTTCAGTTTTCTCAGCTATACTCAAATGCTTTCCTGGCTCTTGGTGGAGTTGGTATTACTTATTTATGAATTTGCACAGGTGCTTCCTCAGTGTTTCCGTGATCTGAGGCATACATTTTCTATTTCCACCTTTTTGCACAGATACTTAGTTGTGGTGGGTTTGATTTTGTATTTTGACTTTTTTATAACAAGTGCTAGAAGAGGAACCAGTGACATCTAAGACTCATGATCATCAATTGGAATCAGATCCCATCCCTGTGGAAGTGTGTAATAAATCGTCTGCCTCCCTGGAGATGACTCAAGGTGTTTCAAAGGGAAGAATTCACGTTAGCTCCAGCCCTAAAAAAGGGGAGCGTCGTGATCTCAGCCACGAGGAAGGACTTCTGTCCAGGTCCCTTCATTTGTCTCCCCAAGAACAGTCTGCCCATCATCAAGACAGAAGGCAATCCTGGCGGCGAGCAAGTATGAAAGAAATGAACAGGCGGAAGTCACTGCCTCCCTTTCATCAGGGCATCACAGGTGGGGTGCTGCATATATACGACATTGGAGTTGCAGCTCAGATAAGATGTGGCAGTGAGGTATCGCAGAAAGAGCGTAGTTGAACAGATTGACTTTGCTAGTTCCTAGCTATGTGACTGAGTAAATCACATTACCTTTGAGCCTCTATGTCAAATACCTAGCAAGTGTTCTCTATTGTTGCTATTATATTATTTCCTAGCTGCCCATTGTAATTTATACCATTAGAGATTTCTTCTTGTAACTTTCTGCCTCATATTGTAAAGAAGGTAGATGGGTTGCTATCTGATTTTAGGCTTTATAACTGAAAATATTTCAGAGGGCAGATGCACATAAAAATACCTAGAGTGAAAACAAGATTTTTAGACATACCATATTTGAATGTGATTTTGTGTGAGTTTACAATAATAATTACATTCCAGTAAGCATTGAAGTACAAGATTTGACATGGAAAGTCTCTAGCACATTTCAGGAAAAACTGACCTTAAACAGGTTACTTAACTTCCTTTGTCTTATGGTCCTCATCAGTAAATGGGATGAAATAATACCTATTTATAAGATTGTATGAGGAGTCAATGAATTGATAAATAACACAGTACTTGGCACATGGTAAATAGCTCAAATATTAAGCTATTGTGATTATTTTAAAGATACTACCTCACTTCCAGATGGCTTATGTCTAACAGGAAATTTGGGTAAAAAACAGCCACTTAGCATATCAGAAAATTGCTACCACAAGTATCGCTTATGTTCTTCATAGGTGTGCCAAGGAAGCATAAGCAATTCCCTAAGATTACCCCAACCTTCCATCTCTGTTCCAGAGCATGTGGACCTAAAATTCTGTATCACAGAAAAATCACTGATGTAATAAGATTATTTCCCAGTTATTCCTGGCCACTTGCCAGATTTCTTTGGTTATAGACAGAAGCTATTCTGTTTTTCTTGACTAACAGCAGTGAGAAGTTATCAAGAAAGGAGACAAAGAACTAAAAACACAACCAGCTGAAGGTAGAGGATGAAAAGACATGTATCTGAAATTCTCAAAGCAAGCTTCCTTTGCCGGATGATAACTGATGTGTTTAAATGGACATAATTGAAAAAAACTCTTTACATCCTGTACTTGTGTGAGGATTCAATGACATAATTATATAAAATGCCCATCCTATTCAGGCTGCCTCACCATGTGACCTTGGGCAAGTTACCTATTACCCAGTCTCTTTTTTTAAATCCTCACCTGAGAATATTTTTCCATTGATATTTAGATTGAGTGGGAGGGAAGAAGGGATAGAGAAAGTGAAACATTGATGTGAGAGACAGACACATCGATGGTTGCCTCTTGAATGACCCTCACTGGGCCTGGGGATTGAACCTGCAGCTGAGGTACAGGCTCTTGACTGGGAATCGAACCCATGAGTCTTTGGTCTGTAGGCCAAGGGCGCTCTAACCGTTGAGCCACACTGGCCAGGGCCCTATTACCCAGTCTTTGTGTCTCATTGTCATCATCAGTAAAATGGAATTGATAAGACACTTGCCTGAAATTTTAATGTGTGTATAACATTTAATAAGCCTTTTACATACAAGTGTTTAACAAATTACTATTATTGTTATTACATCATTGTAGAAGCCAGCATGTTATTACTGGGAAAAACAGGTTTTGGTGACAGAGTTGGGAATGAATTCTTGCCTCTCCAATTTCTGGCCTTAAACAGGTCATCTTTTCTCTGAGCTTCAGTTTCCTCATCTGTAAAATGGAGCTCATAGTTTATAAGAGTACTCTTAAGACAATGTATTTAAAGCACACTGCAGGGCCTGTCATAAAAATGCTCAAATGTTCCCATCTCTGTGATTTGAATGGTGAATGTAAAACATAAAAGAGTCATTTATTTATCTTGTTTAACAAGACAAGGTTTTAATGTAAGACATAAAAGGTTTTTATATAACTTTTTTTTTTTATCCTCACCCAAGGATATTTTTTCATTTTTTGTTCAGATAGAGTGGGAGGGAGAGAGAGAAACATTGACGTGAAAGGGACACATCGAGTGGCTGCCACCCGTACGACCAACCAGGGCCAGGGACAAACTGCAACTGAGGCACACACCCTTAGCGGGAACCAAACCCGGGTCTCTCTGAACCGCAGGCCTGACACTCAACTGCTGAGCCAAACCGGCCAGGGCGGTTTTTATAACTTTTTAAAGCTAGGATGAACAAATAGGTAAATTTCATTCCTTGGTGATCCTGAAGAAAATCAGATGTGACTATACGTATTTTCCCTTTAATTAAAGAGAAATTTCCCTTTAATTACATTTGAGCATTCTTGCTTTAAGTTGGACTGCATCAAGAGGGAGGAAAATTTTCGGGTTTTTTATTTTGCTAACTATGTAAGTATCCCATTGCTTAAATGTGATATTTTATGTTAGAGCTCAGCAGATCCATCAGTGTTGACCTAGCAGAAAGCAAACGGCTTGGCTCTCTCCTGCTTTCCAGTTTCCAGGTAAAATTCTTGCAACTGGGAAATGTTTGTGTGTTTTTTTAAACTGTTACTGTGACAGAACCAAAGAAAGCAATACTGTGTGATGTATTGGTTAAGATTAAAAGGTGTTTTAATCTCTCTAGTTGGGATTAATTTCAAAGCCAGATTTAATCCTAGCAGCTGATTTTGTCTGGACTAGGCTCTCTATGCCATTGGTGCTGCTGCTGAGAGATTTCCCCAACCTAATATCTTTTGCCATTGGCAGCAAATGACAGGAAATAATGGTAATTTAAAGTGGGTGGATGTCAGAATCTAAATTAAAGCATACATTTGAGGGCTGACTACATATTGAGTATTATATATACATCACTTTATTATATTATATACATCACTTTAGATTAACAAGTTATTTGTGTGAATTAAATGTTCGTTTTTTCCCCAAACCCAAAATCAAATGTATAGCCTTACCAACAAAGAGTTTTATCCTTATATTTGTACTTGTTTATATGAAAAATCTTAGGTATAAAAATTAAATCATGTTTACTTCACAGGTATTAAACATATAAAATTACATGAATTTATTTGGGACTGGCCTGGAAAAATCTTGGTTGTTGTACTAAAAATGCTTTTCTTTATTTAGTTCTCTGTTCAGAAACTTGAACCTTTCCTAAAGGGTACTGAGGGCTTCAGTCTTGAAAGTTTTAGAGCCAAAGGTAAGTTGCTAAGAAAAGACAAGTGAGCTTTGACCTTGAGTTGTACCTTCTGTTAAAGTCAGTTGAAGCCCTACTTTTAGGATCACCTGTTTACAGGAGCTGCTGCCTTACAAAACCAGCCCCCCTTCTTTTTTTTGGAATTGCAACTTAAAAAATAATATGTGCTGCCCTGGTCGGTTGGCTCAGTTGGTTGGAGCATCATCCCATACACCAAGAGGTTGCAGGTTTGATTCTCAGTTAGGGCACATCCCTATGTTGCAGGTTTGATCCCCTGTCAGAATGTGTACTGGAGGCAACCAATTGATATTTCTCTCTCACATTGATGTTTTTCTCTCTCTCTCCTTGCCTCTCTCTAAAATCAATAAAAACATATTCTTAGGTGAGGATTAAAAACATAATAATATATGCTAATGAAATTCAGACAGTATAAAAGTGAAAAGTAAGCCTGCCTCCCACCCCATACCTCAGTCACAGCTCCTCTTCACAGGGACAACTATAGACATCAGCTTCTTGTGTATCATTGCAGAGATAATTGTATTTGCAAACAATCATACATTAAAATCAAATAATAGTCTGTGCCGTTTTTTTACCTTGGCTTTTGTGTTTTTTTAAACCAAACTTTGTCTTGCAGATTATTTCATATGACACATAAATGTACCATATTTAACTAGTTTTTTTATGGGTTTTTAGGGTTTACAGTGTTTTGCCATTACAATGAATAGGGTAATGAATACTTTATTTTTTTCTCTAATCCTCACCCAAGGATATTTTTTTTATTGATTTTGGAGAGAGAGAGAGACAAAAACATCAATGTGAGAGAGAAACATTGACTAGCTGCCTTCTATATGCACCCCGACTGGGGATTGAACCTGCAACACAGGCATGTGCCCTGATTGGGAATCAAACCTAAGAACTTCCTGTGTACAGGACGATGCTCCAACCAACTAGTCACACTAGCCAGGGCAATACCTTTTTACACATGTCTTTTGGCACATATGCAAGTAAAAATAAGATAAATTTCTAGAATTGCAAATAAATAGGTCAAACAAAATGATAAGAATTACCAGATTGCCTTCCAGAAAGGTTGTATCATTTCATTCTTTCACCAGAAATATATGCAAGTACCTGTTTTCTCAAACTTACCAGCATAGTTTTATCAAACAGTTCAGATATTTTATAGATGATAACAGTAGGTTTAATCTGTTTCTTTTTCCAAGAGGATAATACACAATGTTACCTAAAAACCTAGAAAATAAGTCAGATATCCTCGTTAATTAAAATTGTTTCTCTCAGCCCAGCTGGTGTGGCTCAGTGGTTGAGTGTTGACCCATGCACCAAGAGGTCTCTGGTTCGATTCCCGGTCAGGGCACATACCCAGGTTGTGGGCCCAATCCCCAGTGGGGGGCATGCAGGAGGCAGCTAATTGATGTTCTCTCTCATCAGTGTTTCTCTCTCTCTCTCGTTCCCTCTCCCTTTGTCTCTCTCTAAAACCAGTAAAGGAAAACAAATTTTTTTTTAATTGTTTATCTCAGAATTGGACCATCACCATAAGTAAAGTAGGTATGTCAAGGTTATCTTAATAGCTATTTAACATCCTTTTCCTTCTTTTTTTTTTTTAATCCTCACCCAAGGATATTTTTCCATTTATCTTCAGAGAGAGTGGGAGGGAAGGAGAGAGAGAGAAACATCAATGAGAGAGAGAAACACATCGACTGGTTGCCTCCTGCACCACCTGGACCAGGGCCAGGGACAAACCACAACCGAGGTATGTGCCCTTGACCAGAATTGAACCCATGACTCTTTGGTCCTTGGGTCCAACACTCTACCACTGAGTCAAACTGGCCAGGGCATACCCATATTTCGTTATTTGCCTTCAACATTTTTTTTAAGGATCTTTTACATTTATTTATTTTTTAAAGTCATCAGTTTTTTAAATGTTTTTATGGATTTTTTTGGAGAGAGATGAAGGGAAAGAGAGAGAGAAACATGGATGTGAGAGAGAAACATTGATTGGCTGCCTCCTGCACGCCCCCTACTGGAGATCAAGATGGTAACTTGGGCATGTGCCCTGACCAGGAATTGAACCAGGACCTCTCAGTCCGCTGAGCCACACCGGCCAGGCTCCAACATTTTTTATTACATTCTTTCCTGTTGTCTGACTTTTGTGATATAATTCCTTTTAGTGCCAGCAGTTCAGATCTCTTGAAGATAATGAAATGTCAGTGCAGATGTACTTTTTTAACTGCTTTTTTCACCAGCTATAAAAACCACTGTCGAGAAACATATGTAACAAAAATAAAAAATAAATTAAAATAAATTTTAAAAAAAGAAATCTTACTCCCATGCATATGTTGCCAGTTTGGCTCAAATAAACTCATAAAAATTCTCAAAAAAAACCCCAACACTTTCAATAAATAAATAAATAGAAATAAATAAATAAAAACCACTATCAATAAATGTCATAAAGAGGAATTGTCTTACATTTTATTTATATGTACCCAAAGAAAAAAGATAAACTCTGCATTTTTTGGGGGGGGGCGGGGTATGTGCCTCTAGCGGGAACCGAACCTGGGACTCTCTGGTTCATAGGCCGACGCTCCAACCACTGAGCCAAACCGGCCAGGGCACTTTTTTGAATGGGTGAGAGGTTCAGAATGTGACAGTGATCCTAGAGCTGAGACTACCTTAAGTGTGTTGTGTCTTTTTTAGTTGCTTGCTGTGAAAATTTATATTCTATTTATAACATGTAATTTTATTTTCTCTAGCATCTTCTCTTTCTGAAGAATTGAAACATTTTGTAGATAGACTAGAATGTAATGGAACTTTACAGAAATGTTTTGAAGATTCAAAAGGGTAAGTTCAATTTCCCTTCTGTCCTAAATTATAATTGAATTATAATTTTATTATAAGTAGACAGTTATTCATTCATTCAATAAACATTTATCTAGCATCTTCTACATACCAGACTTTTCTAGATGCTTTTCTAGATAATAGTGATAACTAAATTAAACAAGGTGATTTTTGTTTGGGGGTTTTGTTGTTGTTGTTAATCCTCGCCCTAGGATATTTTTGCATTAATTCTTAGAGTGGATGGGAGGGAGGAAGTGGGAGGCGGAGAGAGAGAGAGAGAGAGAGAGAAACGTCAATGTGAGAGAGACACATTGATTGGTTGCCTCTCGCATGACCTGGACTGGGGCTGGGGATTGAACCTGCAAGCCAGGTACATGCCCTTGACTGGGAATCAAACCCAAGGCCCTTGAGTCCTTGGGCCAATGTTCTAGCTGCTGAGTTAAACCGGCCAGGGCAATGTGTTTGTTCTGAAATATTTTAATAAAAGAGACAGTCAAACAAATACATATATAATGATTTAAGATTGTGATCTAAGCCCTGGCCGGTTTGGCTCAGCGGTTAGAGCATCCGCCTGCGGTCCGGAGAGACCCGGGTTTGGTTCCCGCTAAGGGCATGTACCTCGGTTGCAGTTTGTCCCCGGCCCTGGTTGGTCGTGCGGGTGGCAGCCACTCGATGTGTCCCTTTCACATCGATGTTTCCCTCTCTCTCTCTTCCTCTCTCTCCCTCCCACTCTGTCTGTGCAAAAAATGGAAAAATGTCCTCGGATGAGGATTAAAAAAAAAAAAAAAAAAAAAAAAAAAAGATTGTGATCTAAGAAGTCAATAGTGACTTGAGGGAGTGGATTAGCTAGGGCTCAGAGAGGACCTCTAATGAATCACCTTTGGACTGAGACGTATTAGACCTGAATGCTGAGAAGGAACCAGTCATGGAAAGATGAAAGGAAAAGCATTTTTCAGATCTTTATTAGCCATGCAATTAGAGATAAACTTATGTTCTTTAGCTGTTAACAAGCAAGAATATTAAACGTAGTTTAGAGAGGTGGGGGAGAAGGTGGAAGAGGGCATAGAGGGGATAAATTATGATGGACTGAAAAGGAGTAATTTAGTCCAGCTGGTGTAGCTCAGCGCTTGAGCGCTGACCCATGCACCAAGAGGTTGCCGGTTCGATTCCTGGTCAGGACACATGCCCAGGTTGTGGGCCTGATCCCCAGTGTGGGGCATGTAGGAGGTGGCCAGTCGATGTTCTCTCTCATTGATGTTTCTGTATCTCTCCCCCTCTTACTTCCTCTCTCTCAAAATCAATAAAATAAGGGGGGGGGGGGGTAATTTAGCCCGGCTGGTGTGGCTCAGTGGATTGAGCGTCATCCCATGGACTGGAGGTCCTGGTTTGATTCCCCGTCAGGTTACATGCCTGGGTTGTCAGCTTGATCCCCAGTAGTGGGTGTGCAGGAGGCAGCCCACTGATGTTTCTACCTTTCTCTCCTTTCTTCTCTCTCTACAAAATCAAAAACATATTTTTTAAAAAAGAGTAATTTAGCCCTGACTGGTTTGGCTTAGCAGTTAGAATGTCGGCCTGCAGTCCAGAGAGACCCGGGTTTGGTTCCCACTAAGGGCAGGTACCTCGGTTGCAGTTTGTCCCCAGCCGTGGTTGGGTCATGTAGGGGGCAGCCACTCGATGTGTCCCTTTCACATCGATGTTTCTCTCTCTCTCCCTCCCACTCTATCTGAACAAAAAATGGAAAAATGTCCTCGGGTGAGGAGTAATTTAGAAATCCCACCCCTAAACTTGTAGTTCCTCTGTAGGGGTGGACTCTTTAGGGGTGGAGCCCCTCTCTACCCTGCCCTGCAATAAATCATGTCACTAGAGCTTACTTTTCAGTTTTGACTTTGCAAAGGTCTGCTCTTCTATAGATTCTTAGATTTAACATTGCTATTCAGGAAATGAAAAATATTTTCTCTCTCTCTTCCAGGGACAGGGTCTTTAGGAATTCAGAATGGTCCAGTGTTTGACATACCATCAGAGGCTATGTAACAGTATAACCTTAAACAAAACTAGGCTGTTCCTAACCCCTAGTTTTTCTTTATACCAAGAGGATTGTGAAAGCACTGAAATCTACATGTGGCAAAAAATGTCAGCAGGGCCTATGGTAGATCTGTGTGTGCTAAATGTGACCAGATCAAGTGTGCTTTCCTTATTGAGGAGCAGAAAATAATTGTGGAAGTGTTAAAGGCACAAACACAGAATTAGAAAGCTAAATAAAAAATAAAAGTTTTTAGTAAAAACAAAAAGATACATATTTTGGCTTAATATAGCATCTTTTTCTCTCCTTTTTTAAAAAATTGTTTTTCCTTTATTGATTTTAGAGGGAGAGGGAGAGAGAGAGATAGAAACATTGATGAGAGAGAACATTGATTGGCTGCCTCCTGCATGTCCCCCACCGGGGATCGGGCCCACAATGTGGGCATGCATGTGTCCTGACTGGGAATCTAATCGATGACCTCTTGGTGCGTGGGTTGATGCTCAACCATTGAGCCACATCGGCCAGATTCTCTCTTTCTTTTTTTGGTTAACCCTTACCCTACGATATTTTTCCATTGATTTTTTTATTTTATTTTATTTTTGATAGAGTAAGAAGGAGGGTGGAAGAGGGTGGGCATCGATCTGAGAGAGACATATCAATTGGTTACCTCCCACATGAGCCCTGACTGGGGTTGGGGATTAAACCTGCAACCCAGGTACTTGCTCTTGACTGGGAATCGAACCTGTAACTCTTTGGTGCAAGGGCCAAAGCTCTAACCATGGAGCCACACCAGCCAGGGCTAAAGGAATATTTTAAGACAGGTTTATCTGGTCATGTGTGAATTGTAATTGATGAAAGAGAAGGTAAGACCTAGTACAAAAGGGAGTCTAAGAATAAATATTTGTTGAAAGATAAATTCTTTTTTTTTTTATCCTCACCCGAGGACATTTTTCCATTTTTTGCTCAGGTAGAGTGGGAGGGTGAGAGAGGAACAGAGAGAGAGAGAGAAACATCGATGTGAAAGGGACACATCGAGTGGCTGCCACCCGCACAACCGACCAAGGCCGGGGACAAACTGCAACCGAGGTACGCGCCCTTAGCGGGAACCGAACCCGGGTCTCTCAGGACCGCAGGCCAACACTCTAACCGCTGAGCCAAACCGGCCAGGGCATAAATTCTTTTTTTTTAATATGTTTTTAAATATGTACCATATTTGATTTAAGCAGTTTCTTAGGGCTTTGAGGGTTTTCAGTCTTTTGTCATTACAATGAATACCTTATTTTTTTCTCTAATCCTCACCTGAGGATATGGTTTTTTTTTATTGATTTTAGAGAGAGAAGAAGGGAGAGGAACAGAGAGAGAGAAACATGGATGGGTTGCCTCTCACACACACCCTGAATGGAGACCAAACCTGAAATTTGGGCATGTGCTCTGACTGGGAATCGAACCAGCGACCTTTCAGTGCACAGGATGATGGTCAACCAACTGAGCCACACCAGCCAGGGGGAAAGATAAATTCTGAACATGTTTTATTGCCTAAAATTATGTAAGTTGTCATATTAAAAGCAAGTGTTCTTGAAAGATTTGTTTAATCTCACAATCTTATCTGTATTCTAGAAAAGCATCAGATTTATCTCTGGAAACATCAGTGGCTGAGATGAAGGAATACATAGCCAAGTAAGTGAAAATGAACCTTTGTTGGAAAATCTAAATTCATTTGGGGAAAATGAATAATAAACATCCTGTCCTGAGTGTTAATACTAGTATAGCAACACTAGAAGTTAGCTGCATATTGGGACCTGTGGGCTGTACTCATGGCCAACTTCACAGAATGGAGTCTAGGGAATAAAGATGTTAATTTTAAGAACTTGTGTTTGATTTGATTAAATTAATATCCTCTAAATCAGCCACGGTTTCTAATTCTTTAGTGACCTTTTCATTCATGTCTTAGAACTAGAGTAGGCACCTAATGTACTACCGTTGTCCTGAGTGATTCAGAATGAGATAATAAAAAATTAACAATCATTTTTCTGATTCTGCAGATTTTCCTTGGAACGTCAGAATTGGGATCAGCTCTTGCTGTGCTACCAGAAGGAGGCCGAGGAGTTCTTCCCCAGGTTAGATCTACAACTGGAAATCAGAAGCTATTTTTCACCTTGTGGAGTTTGATTTGAATTTATTTTAGTTCTATTAACACAAATTGAATGATGAATCCTTTCTCGTAGGCCAGTCAACTCATCAGAGTTCTGTAAAACATATATTAGCGCTCTCTGACCTTAAATGGAGAATCAGGGAAAGAACAGGGAGTTCGTGTCACTATTTTCAGTCAAAGAACAGAATTGCCTGTGTTGTGTGTCTAGCTGCCATTCCACATCCTGGGGGAGATAGGCACATCTTTGCCTTTTACCTGGAACCCTGGGGCTGGGCCAAAAACAACAGTCAGGGGACTTCAGTGAGCACATGGCCTTTGAGCTGCAGGTATGGGAGAGAACCCTGGCCAAGACCTTTGTGGAGATGTAAAGACATGGAAGGGGGTGATGGAAAGAGAGGAGAATTTTCTGGGTCTTAATGGCATAAAAAAGTGGGAAAGTGCAAGATTTTTATATAGTTGGCCATCTAAGCCAGTGATTTTAAGCTTTTTTTCCAAATAGAATCTTAGCTAGGAACCCAACTATAAAATGGTAGCAAAACCCTAATTGCAAAAGTGGCCTCTTAGTAGAGAGGTGCTTTGAGGAATACGATTTGAAAAATTTCTCCAGTGCTGGCATTGATGGTTATCAGGTACTTTATTCACCCCCTACATGTTCTGTTTATGAAGATAGATAATGTATAAGATGGCAGTTTTAGAATAAAAAAATTGATATGGCATAGCTTATTGGTTAAGAGGAATGCTTCTGGAAGTGGACTGTTTCTGTTCAAATACTAATTGCTGCTTCATTCTGTGATCTTGGGCAAGCCACTTCATCTCTAAGCCTTAAGTTTCTCATTTTAAAATGGAGGTAATATTAGTACCTACTTCACTGGTAATTGTGGGTGTTTAATGAGGTTAAATGAAAAGTGCTTAGCAGTGTCTGGCATTTAGTAAATTGTAGTAGTTGCTGTTAATAAAGAGTCATCCGTCATATGAATTCTCCATATTCACTTATTTATTTATTTTTTTAAATATGTTTTTACTGTTTTTAGAGAGAGGAAGGGAGAGGGAGAGAGAGACAGAAACATCAGTGATGAGGGAAGCATCGATTGCCTACTTCCTGTACGTCCCCTACTGGGGATTGAGCCCACAACCTGGGTATGTGCCCCAGGGACTATGGTTCAATTCCCCGTTGGGGCACATACCCAGGTCGATGGGTATAGGTCGATGCTCAACCCCTGAGCCACACTGATGGGGCTATATTCACTTTTTTAGATAATTGAGTTGCCTAGTATTTTTTTGGTGAAAGATCATAGATATTGACTTCAGAATAGCAAGCTTTGGCTTTACTCTACCCTAACTGTAGTTCTTTTTGTAAATAGACCTACTGTTAGAGAGAGTCAACTGACATGAAGCTTCTAGCATTTCCTGGAGTCCAGTGGTATAAAAAAGTTAATGCGGGATAATGGTTTCAGATCCTGTTGTTAATAAGAGAACCTATACCTACAGTAGGGTAGAAGAATATTGCTTCAGGTTAATGAAGTCTTATTGGAGGCTTTTTCCCTAGGTAATCTTTCATATTTTCCTCTAAAAATGATTATAAAATTCCTTGAAAGCTCTTTTGTTTTTGGTTTTTTTTTAGAGGATCAACTGAAACAAAAATTACTGAAGTTGAAGTGGAACCTACAGCATATCTTGGGTCTTCCCAGAGTGAAGTTCTTAATACAAAGCCTGACTACCAGAAAATATTACAGAGCCAGAACAAAGTCTTTGATTGTATGGAGTTGGTGGTGAGTTGGCTCATGTTTATATTTGGTTGAGTTACCCAGCTTGCTACCTTGTCATCCTTGGAAATGAAAAGACCTGGAGAATATGTTATAAGATAAGGTAAGTATATTTAACTCTACCTTAGTGAAACATGGAGAGACAGTTTAAAAAACACAAATAAATATGTGGTGATAATGCTAATAAAGCAGAGAATGGAGCAGTATACCAGGAGGATAGCAGGTTACTTACTGTACAGAGCAGTTGTTGAAGGTCCCTCTAAGGTTCCATTTTAACAGAGACTGGAAAGAAATGAGGAATTGAGCCATGAGGACATTTGGGAGAATAGTATGATATCATTCCAAGTATCAACAGGAAGCAGTTGATACAGTGTAATTCAAGGAGAGTTTATTTATAAAGGGGCTGTGTATAAAGTGTGGATATTGGGAAACCAAAAGGGTTAAGTATGGAACCTGGGGCTTAAGAGGCAGCTGAGCTCTTACTACCCCTAGGCCTGCAGGGAGGAGAGGAAGAATAGTTAATGTGGCATCTGAGGGGAGAAAGTCACATAGTGGGCTGCTTTGAGAGAGCCATGACCTTTAGTTGAGAGAAACAGCTAATTTAGGATGGTCCTTCCTAGAACAGGCCTGGATAAAATACCCAGACCTCATTCAGCTCCCTCCCACTTGGGCTCCCTCTTGGCCAAACCCACCCAGAACTCAGAGGACATGGGATCCTGGGATCCTGTTAGAGTTTATTTAGGTCAACCTTCTGGGCCTATGGTCAGCAGTGTGGAGGAGTGGAGTGTGGATCTGGAGGAGCAAACAGAAAATGTTGAGTATAAACGTTCCAGTTAGAAAGAATAGCAAAAGCAAAGCTCCTGAGCAGGAGCTTGCCTGGTGTGTTTGAGGAACATCAAAGAAGTCATGGACCCTTACAGCTCACAGCTGTCTCATATGCAGATGGATGAACTGCAAGGATCAGTGAAGCAGCTGTATGCCTTTATGGACGAAAGTACCCAGTGCCTCCAGAAGATGTCAGTACAGCTCGGTAAGTGTATCTCTTAAGGGGACCAGAGGGGCAACCCTTCAGATACAAACTGCCCTTACCACATGGTCTCAGAGGGTAAGGCCCACATCAAGTGTTTTGTTTTGTTTTCTCCCTCACAATAACTATTATGTTGTGCATACTCATAGTTGATAGAAAATTCTAGATGTAAATTCCACAGAAGTTAAGTAGACTAAGAATTAAATCACCATAAACCATCTTGTTTTAGTACGTCTAAGACTTAAGAAGTACCTATTGCCTTTTTTTCCCCTGCTCATTCTTCAAAAATCCACTGATACTGACAGTACTTCATAGCTTTTTCTGATTTCCTCCAACCCTAAATTATTGCTCTATATACCTTAATTTTCTTATTTATCACATCGTATTGTGGTTGTAGTTGCAGCTGGCTTTCCTACCAGACTGTCATCTCCTTGAGAACGAAGATTCTTTTTTTTTTTTGAGAACGGAGATTCTTATTTGTCATTGTAATGCCCTTCAGTGTCTGGCACAGTGTCCATACTGTAAGTTTTCAATAGATCTTTGAATTCAATTGAAATTTATTTTTTGGCTTCTTTCCCCTGTAGGGAAGAGAAGCACGCAACAATTAGATTCCTCACCCGCTCGAAAACTGCTCAAGCTTCAGTTACAGAACCTGCCTACTGCAAAATGCTCTAAATCTGGTCAGTGACCTTATGCATCTTTCTGCCACAAGGTGCTCTAGAGGAGAGAAATGGGAAGAATGCTCCAGTGCATAGCAATGGTGTGGCAATCTGAGTTGGTGGTATCTACTGGTTGCCTTTGAGGATAACTGGCTGACTATAGAGCACTTTGATATTTTTCTAAAAGTGACAACACTGCCCTGGCTGGTGTGGCTCAGTTGGTTGGAGCATTGTCCCATACACTGAAAAGTCATAGGTTCGATTCCCAGTCAGGGCACATACCCAGGTTCGATCCTGGTTGGGGTGTGTATGAGAGGCAACTGATTGAGGTTTCTCTCTTATATCAGTGTTTCTCCCTCTCCCTTCCTCTCTTTCTAAAAGCAATTTTTAAAAAAGAAGTGACAACATTTACGTATCCAAAAGAATGTTGTATAGATACTTTTTTCAAGAATGTGCAAGATAATTTAAATTTCTGTTTTGGAATGACCTTCAGAACTAGTGACCTAGTCTTTTAAACATCCTTTGTTATCACAAATCTTCATCTTGTGTAGATATTTTTCAAGTTTTGAAACATCCAAAGTCATTCAGGATCAAATCCAATGAAACATTTTAGGGGTCAAGTTGGGTTCTGGTTGTAAAGGAATGAGACTAATTTCCTAGTGTGACTTTGAAGGTAATTTTAGGTAGAAAAGTTGTGGGTAGTTGATTACATCAGGTGAATGCATATGTCACTTTACAAGATGTCCAAATTGAGGAAATACCACCCATTCTCTATGTCCTTATGCCCATAATGTGCTTCCATTTTTAACATTAAGTCAACATCCTAAATCCTGGATTCATGGCAAGAAGTAGCCTAGTATTTATTTTCATTGTTCTCTGTATTTGTTAATAATCTGCATTATAAAATTGTACATAATTAAAAGTTTTCCTTGTCTTTGTGTATATATTGAGTGTATAAAAAATTAAAAGTTAGGGAAGGCTTAGAAAATAGGATTCTTTGACAATTATGGAAGTGAATAGTAGTGTAGAGATAAGCCTCAGCATTAGTTACTGATAAAGCACCAAATAATTTATTGTTAATGTTTCTTATTCTCTGATCCTCCTAGTAGGACAAAACATATTTCATTTAAATGCTTAGTTATGCACCTATCAGAATGGCCGTCATCAACAAATCATCAAACAACAAGTGTTGGCAAGGGTGTAGAGAAAAGGGGACTCTAATACACTGCTGGTGGGAGTGCAGACTGGTGCAGCCACTATGGAAAACAATATAGTGTTACCTCAAAAAATTAAAAATTGGACTTCCGGTCAAGATGGCGGCGTAGGTAAACGCAGTATCGCGTCCTCCCACAACCACATCAAAGTTACAACTAAACTACAGAACAACCATCATTCAAAACCGCCTGAAATCAAGCTGAATAGAAGTCCTACAACTACGGAATTAAAGCAGCAGCCACATCCAGACTGGTAGGAGGGGTGGCAGCGCTACGGGCTGGTCCGACACCCAAATGTGGCGGATAAAAATCAGGAGGCTCCCGCGGCTGGGAAGGTCCTTCCTGAGGACTGAGGGGTCCCTGTCCCACACCAGGCGCCCAGCTCAGGGTTCCAGTGCCAGGAAGAGAATCCCCATAACTTCTGCCTGGAAAAACCAGCAGGAACTGAGGCTCAGGGAAGCTGAGGCGGCTGGAGCCCCAGGCAGCTCCCTAAAGGGCCCGCACACGGACTTATCGGACTCTCTCCCTCTAAGCTTGGAGGGGAGGCTGCTCGAGGGGCACCAGAGACATACAGGGAAGAACTGAGCTGTTTGGCACTGGAGTGAGGGCTGGAGAGGGGGCTTTCTCGGGGACAAACGTGCTGTAAGAGGCCTTTGTTCCTTTGGTGAGCCCTTCCTGGAGGCGGCAGACAGTCGCTATATCTGGGACTCCAGCAACCTGGTTCACACTGGTAGCCCCGCCCTGCTGACTCCCTGAGGCCCCGCCCCACCCTACTTTCAAGCCCACCCATGCTGTTGCCACTTGCCTAACCATAGGATTGGCCTGTCTTGGATCCTGCTTCAGGTTTTTCCTAAATTCTTTCAAACGAGCAGCATCTGGTCTCAGCGAGCCCCATACCTCTCATTAAGTAATACACTGAAACAAACACAGGGAGGCAGCCAAAATGAGGAGACAAAGAAACAGGTCCCAAATGAAAGAACAGAACAAAACCCCAATAAAAGAACTAAGCAAAATGGAGATAAGCAACCTAACAGATACTGAGTTCAAAATAACTGCTTAAAAGGATGCTCAATGAACTTAGTGAGAACCTCAGTGAACTTAGGGAGGGCCTCAAGAGCATAAAAAAGGACCAGTTAGAAATCATGGATACACAGTTAGAATTGAAGGAGGCATTAACTGAAATAAAGAATAATTTACACAGCTTCAATAATAAAATCCAAGGAGCAAACCATCGATTTGGAATATAAGGAAGCAAAAAATGCCCAATCAGAACAGCAAAAAGAAAAAAAAATCCAAAAAAATGAGGACAGTGTAAGGAGCCTCTGGGACAACTTCAAGCGTGCCAACATTCGCATCTTGGGGGTGCCAGAAGGAGAAGAGAGAACAAGAAATCGAAAACCTGTTTGAAACAATAATGGCAGAAAACTTCCCTAACTTGGTGAAGGAAAAAGACATACAAGTCCAGGAAGCATAGAGAGTCCCAAACAAGATGAACCCCAAGAGGCCCACACCAAGACACATCATCATCAAAATGCAAAAGGTTTAAGACAAAGAGAGAATCTTAAAAGCAGCAAGAAAAAGGCAGCTAGTTACCTACAAGGGAGTTCCCATAAGGCTGTCAGATGATTTCTCAAAAGAAACTTTGCAGGCCAGAAGGGAGTGGCAAGAAATATTCAGAGTGATGAAAACCAAGAACCTACAACCAAAATTACTCTATCCTGCAAAGCTGTCATTTAGAATCGATGGACATATAAAAACTTTCCCAGACAAGAAAAAGTTAAAGGCGTTCATCACTACCAAACCGTTATTATATGAAATGATGAAGGGTCTTTTTGAAGAAAAAGATAAAATGTATGAACAAACAAAATGGCAATTAATACATATCTATCAACAATGGAATCTACAAACAAAATGAACAGGTAGAACAGAAACATTCTCATAGATACAGAGAACATTTTGTTGGTTGCCAGTTGGGAGGGGGGTTGGGGGAATGGGTGAAAAAGGTGAAGGGATTAAGAAGCACAACTTCATTGCTAGACTGACAAACCTCAAAGGGAAAGGGGTGGGGTGGGGTGGGAAGAAATAAACCAAAGAACTTATATGCATAACCAATGGACACAGACAATAGTGTGGGAAAAGGTGGAAGGGGGGCGGGAGTGGGGAGGAGGGGGTCAATGGGGGAAAAATGTGGAACATCTGTAATACATTTTACATCCAACAATAAAGATTTGAAAAATAAATAAATAAAAGTATTGAGTACCTAAAAAAAAAATTAAAAATTGAACTTCCATTTGACCCAGTGATCCCACTTCTAGGAATATACCCTAAGAATTCTGAAACACCAATTAGAAAGAATATATGTACCCCCATGTTTGTAGCAGCACTATTTACAATAGCTAAGACCTGGAAGCAGCCCAAGTGTCCATCAGTAGACGAATGGATAACAAAGCTGTGGTACATATACACAATGGAGTACTATGCAGCTGTAAGAAAGAAAAATCTCTTATCCTTTGAGACGACATAGAGGGACCTGGAAAGTATTATCTTAAGTGAAACAAGCCAAGCAGAGAAAGACAAATATCACATGATCTCACTTATTTGTGGAATATAACGAACATAACAGTCTGAGGCACGGGGTAGTCCCAGAGATGTGGAAGTGGGGTCCAGACTGACAATCCCCTGAAGAGGGGGTGGGGGGGGGGGATAAACCACAGAACTTATATGCATGTATGTATTAACAATGGACATGGACAACAAAGGTGGGGACAGGGTGGGGAGGGAGAGGGAGGGAGGAATCAGTGTGGGAAAATGAAACATCTGAAACAAAAATAATTTAAAAAATAATAATATTACAGAATATAAATAAATAAATAGTTATGGCCTGGCCAGTCTTGCCCAGTGGTTAGAGCATCAGCCCTCAGTCCAATGAGTCATGGGTTTGATTCTGGCCAAGGGCGTGTACCTTGGTTTCGGTACATCGTCCGCCCTGGTTGAGTTGTGCGGGAGGCAACCAGTCAATGTGTCTCTCTCATGTCGCTGTTTCTCTCTTTGTCCCTCTTTCCCTCCCACTCTGATCATAAATAGAAAAAATATCCTCAGGTGAGGCTAAATAAATAAATAAATAAATACTTAGTTATAATCTTAAGTCTAAAACTTTGGCCTAAGCACCAGCTAGTGAGAAGTGATATCTCCTTGCTTTGACCTATATTCCTATTCTTTCATATATTTACAGAGACTGCTATATGCCAGGCACAATTCTAGAACTGGGAAAAGAGTAAAGAACAAAAACAGACATGGGATGTCCTCTCATGATTCTCATTGTCTAGTGGGTACACAGGAAATAAGAAGAGACAACTTCTCTGCAGAAGTGTTTTAGTTGATTTAGCTGATTAGGAGGAGTTAAATAGGGCAAATATTTGAGGCTAAAGGAGCAGTATTTCCAAAGGCCTGAGGAAGGAGAGAATGAAACATTGTAGGATAAAGAAAAACACCAGTAAAGCAGGAATGCTGAGTGCTCCTGGAAGAGTCACCTAAGAAAGAATGGAAAGTCATTAGGTTTTAAGAGTGAGATGGGATCAAAAGTTTATTTTTAAAAGATTACTCTAGCCCTGGCCAGTTTGGCTCAGCGGTTAGAGTGTCGGCCTGCGGTTTGGAGAGACCCAGGTTCGGTTCCCGCTAAGGGCACGTACTGGTTTGCAGTTTGTCCCCGGCCCTGGTTGGTCGTGCGGGTGGCAGCCACTCGATGTGTCCCTTCACGTCGATGTTTCTCTCTCTCTTTCCCTTCCTCTCTCTCCCTCCCACTCTATC